TCTTTACCTTCTTTTTTCACAAATGCACAGATGTCAGCTCTGCCACAAATGTATCAGGTTTTTAACATTTTGGAATGCACCGTTTAGTGAACTTTTTAATTTCTTCTGACTAGCAAATAACTTTTTTTTCCCTCTTTTTTATTTTTTTTCTCTTTTTTTAAATTAGGTGTTCTTACATGTTTTTCTTATTGCTTCTCTTTTTTTTTTTTTTGCTTCTTTTTAACTTTATACAGGAGCTTAGCTCTATTGATCTTCCCTTTGAGCTTTAATTTAATTATACTTTAATTTATAAGAGGGAATGTCTTTTCAAAATATGAATGCTTTTACTAAAGGGGTTTGACTTTTTTCTCTTGTTTTTCTCCCCCCCCCCTTTTTTCCCCTTTCTTCTCCTCTACTCTGTTTTTCATGCTTTATTGTTCCTCTCTCCCCCTTCTCTTTTCTCTATTCCTTTCTGCCCTTTTGTTTTCTGTCCTCCTTATCTTCTTCTTCTCTTCTTTTTCCTTCCCTTTTTTTTTCCTATTACTTTACTTTTTTCTTTTTTAAAAATATGTAATATGTATGTAACTCACTACGTTCAGCATGCAGGGCCTGATATGCAGCTGGATACACAAGTTGCTCTGAGCAGCTGTAGGCTAACCTTCGTGCTGCTTTAAGCGTTTGCACGTCGTGCTGCTTGTGTCGTGTTTTTCTCAGCCTTATGTCTGTCACCAAGCCTGCCTTTTCAGTTGGTGTTTCGCAGTGATTGTGTTCTGCCCTTCTTGTGCTTCTCCCAGCACGCCAGTCTCTCACACCGGTCTTCGCTCTCTTGCTCCTGCCTAGACGCTTTCTGCCTGTTCTCGCGCCCAACTAACCTTCCTCGCCTCTCGCAGTATGCGCATCTACTTCATCATGCTACCACCACCGGATCTCAACCTATTATTATGCTTAAATTAGCCCGGGATCGTGGGCTAGAGTTCACTCTCCACACTGGGACCACCAGGGAATCCCTCACCGGACCACCAGGGATTGAAGTATGTCCCCCCTCTCCCCCAGTAAAGGTAAGAAGCGAGGAGGGACATAGGATATTTATTTAATTAAATAAAAAAATATATATATAATTAAAAAAAAGCCACACACACATACATTGCCCCCAATACTGCCCCCCCATTCACACAAATTGCCCCCATACACACAAACTGCCCCCATACACAACTGCCCCATACACACAAACTGCCCCCATTCACACAAACCGCCCCCCATACACATAAACTGCCCCCATTCACACAAACTGCCCCCCATATACACACAAACTGCCCCCCATACACACAACTGCTGCCCCCCATTCACACAAACTGCCCCCACACACACAAACTGCCCCCATACACACACACTGCCCCATACACACACACTGCCCCCCCATACACACACACTGCTGCCCATACACACACAAATGCATACATACACACTGCTCCCCATACACACATACACCCATACACACACACTTCCCCCCCACACACACACACACTGCCCCACATACACACATACTGCCCCACATACACATACATACTGCCCCACACACACACTGCCCGCCATACACACTGCCCCACATATACACACTGCCCCCCATACACACACAAACTGCCCGCCATACACACACAAACTGCCCCCACATACACACATTGCTCCCCCATACACACACACTGCCCCCCCATGCCCACCCATACACACACACACTGCCCCCCCATACACACACACTGCAACTGTTACACACGCATACTGTCCCACACATACACTGCATCCCTGACATACACTGCCGCCCTCACTCACACACTACAACCTTCACACACACACTGCACCCCTTACACATTGCACCACTCACACACACCACTGCTTCTATGCCCTACTACAGCCCCATTTCCCAGCAGATCTCAGGTAAGTTGTCAAACTGTTCTTAAACGGTTTGACTACTTACTGTGGGAGGGGGTCCCGGCACTATTGACACCATAACCACTACACTGAGCTGTAGTGGTTATTGTGCCTGGATTATTTCTTTAAATAATCTACAAGTGCCCCTCCCGAGATCAGGCTCTGGATCCTCCACTGATGAGAGGTGCAGCACAGGAAGGTTTAAAACGTCTCTTATGATAATATGGGGGTCTTCTGACACCCCTTAGGCTTTTTTATTTATATTATACTTTTTTAAAGTGACAGCTGGCTAGCAAGCATTGGTGAGCCATCATATGGTTATCCCTCACAGAACCAAGGGTTATTTAATTATTTTCAAATAGTAAATTAAATTATCATTCACTTGCAAAAAGCAAGTGAATGATAACTTGCGAATGTGTCCCAAATTTTGATAAAACCGGTGCTTTGTGAATATTTTTAATTAATTTCTTTGTATAGGAGTTCCTGTTCTGTCATTTAAAAGGTATGATGTTACCCCACTGTAGCACAGCTCTACTGCTTTTTGAGCCACTCCTGTAGTCTCATGTGAGTACATTCCCTTTTTTCCACTCTACATGTATTGTACAACAGTCAACACTATTTTCTGTTTTATATTCTTTTTTAGGAGATTTGTATGTATGGCTGAGAAGTGTGGTGGAACATCTAAGATATCATCTGCTATTTATTTTGAGCCAGAGATAATTGACTCTATACATTTTGAGTGAGTGTGATACAGTTATTATCAATTTGCTATCACATATAAAAATAGGTTAGGTTTTTGTATGTTTTTCCTCTAAGGCTACATGTCTTAATAGAGGTACTACTTATCTGAGAGAAGAAGGAATTTTGTAACTTTATTACACATATAACCCTTTATGGATTTCTATGTGTGTACCTTAACCTTAAAGGATCACTATAGTCAACATATAAAAGCAAGAAAGACAGGTCCCCCAGCCTTCTTTCTTGCTTTCATATGAACTTGCCATTAAAAAAAAATAAGTCAGAGCACTTTTTATTAATAAAACTTACCTCCGTTCCAGTGCCGAGCTCCCTGCCAAGCCACGCCCCCTTTTTCGTCAAATGACAAAATCGCAGGACCCAATAGAATGCTTCTCTTTGAGAAGTGTCATCGCGATCTGGTGCGCATGCGCGGCTTTGCTCGCTTTCTATACCCGCACCCCCCGCCTATGGCAACCCTCCTCAGCCAAACTTTGTGTGTTTGCATAGAAACACTGTATATAGAGATCTCTATATATATAGTGTTTGTATACAAACACACAAATAGTAAAAAATTACAAACATACACACACTCTCTCTCCATCCATCCCCATCCATCCATATCCATCCCCATCCATCCCCATCCATATCCATCCCCATCCATCCATCAATATATACATCCATCCATGCATATGGACGGATGGATGGGGATGGATATGGATGGATAGGGAGGAATGGCTAGAGAGGGATGGATGGATGGATAGGGATGCATGAATGGATGGGGATGGATGGATATGGATGGATATGGATGGAAGGGAGTCCCCCTCCTTCCTCTTCAGCCTCCCTGAGCCATGTGATCGCTAGGTCCTTGTGAGGACCTCGTGATCACATGGACGGCTATGCCAGCAGGGGGAGTGCCTGGAATGACAGGTACTCCCCCTGCTGCCTGAAAAAATTTGTAATTGTTTAAAACAGTGTAAAATTAAATTATATATACTTAGATCATATATATGTATTATATATATGATCTAAATATATATTTATATATACACATATACCCACATATGCATAAATACATATACACTGTATAAGTGTATTTTAATATTAATATATATAATTATATATATATATATATATAGAATAGATAAAAAACGGGATGCACTCTCAGGTCTTCAAAATAGTGAAAATAGTGCTTTATTAATCAATAGGATGCATATAGAAATCGATCGATCGATTTCTATATGCATCCTATGGATTAATAAAGCACTATTTTCACTATTTTGAAGACCTGAGAGTGCATCCCGTTTTTTATCTATTCTACATATTGGACGATTGTGGATACAGCAGCCAGGCAAGATTTTTCTTTCATCTTATATTGGAAGGAGAGTGCCAAGATTCTATTGCTATTATATATATATATATATATATATATATATATATATATTAAAATCAAAATACACGTAGAATGATATTGATTAAATATATATATAATTATCATTATATATATATATATATATATATAATATAAAATAAATAAATATGTAAATATTTTTAAAAAATAAAAATAAATAAATAATAAAAAATAAATAAAAAATTATATAGATGTGTAATTTTTTAAAAGAATATATATATATATTGATATCCAAATACATGTAGAACAAAATTATATATATATATATATATATATATATATATATATATATATATATATATATATATATATATATATATATATATATATATATATATATAATATGAAAATAATTTTTAAAAATGATATACATATATATATATATATATATATACACATGTATATATATATAATTATTCTATGTATATATTTATGTAATAATTTTACATAATTAGGTCATTTTATTAATTACAATTGGCGGGGCCAGTCTGACAACCCAGGCCGAAAGTCCAGGGAATTTAATTTGCTAGCACTATATTTAACCCTGTAACTTTCCAAGACACCATAAAACCTGTACATGGGTACTGTTTTACTCAGAAGATTTTGCTGAACACAAATATTAGTGTTTCAAAACAGTAAAATGTATTACAACGATGATATCGTCAGTGAAAGTGACATTTTTTGCATTTTTCACACACAAATGGCACTTACACGGACGATATAATTGTTGTGATACGTTTTACTGTTTTGAAACACAAATATTTGTGTTCAGCGAAGACTCCTGCGTATAACAGTACCCCTCATGTACAGGTTTTATGGTGTTTTCAAAAGTTACAGAGTCAGATATAAGGCTTGTGTTTCAGTTTTTTCACATTGAAATTTGCCAGATTGGTTATGTTGCCTTTGAGACCGTATGGTAGCCCAGGAATGAGAATTACCCCCATGATGGCATACCATCTGCAAAAGTGGACAACCCAAGGTATTGCAAATGGGGTATGTCCAGTCTTTTTTAGTAGCCACTTAGTCACAATCACTGGCCAAAATTGGCGTTCAAATTAGTTTTTTGCATTTTTCACACACAAACAAATATGAACACTAATTTTGACCAGTGTTTGTGAAGAAGTGGCTACTAAAAAAGACCCAAAAGTAAATACCGTGGGTTGTTTACTTTTGCAAATGGTATGCCATCATGGGGGTAATTCTCATCCCTGGGCTACCATACGGTCTCAAAGGCAACGTAACCAATCTGGCGAATTTCAATGTGAAAAAACTGAAAAATGTAACATGCTAGATTTGACCCTATAACTTCCCAAAACTCCATAAAACCTGTACATAGGGGGTACTGTTTTACACGTGAGACATCACTGAATACAAATATGTGTATTTTATTGCAGTAAAAGCAAACAGTATTATGATATTCACAGTTAGAATGTCACGTAGAACTAAACATTTATTTTTTATTCTTATTTTCTCCCATTTTTTTTATATTTTATTCATATTACATTATGTTTCATAGCTAAATATGTGATGGTAAATGAAAGCCCTGTTTCCCCTGAATAAAATGATATATAATAAGTGTGGGTGCACATAATATGAAAGAGGTGAATTACGCCTGAACAGACATATAGAGCAAATTCAAGTTTTTGTTTACGTTTTGTTTTGATCACAATGTGTACATTTGGCTCAGTCCTTAAGGGGTTAATTTCTGTTCCACACCTAACTGCTCATTACCATATTCATTAATATATCATATTGTTTTCCAACTTCAGAACATGACATCATGTATTTTTGTATTTCCACGTAATGCTGGTACATAACATAATTTTCATAGAACAACTGTATGGTTATTTTTTTTCAGTTCATGCAAGAACTAGATAAGAAGAATATTTTCAGTGGAATACACCAGTAACATAAAAGGACACTTGAGTTCTCCTTTATTAAGAGTGTGTTCAGAGCATGATAAAGCTCTTTTGCGCAGTATATCACTTAGCAACATCAATAGTCGTAAGAAGCAAAAAAAACAAAAACCTATGGGTTTAACTGTGCAAGATAGTTAACCTTATCTTTAACACTGTGTTAACTCCTATTCCGATTTTAAGGGCATACATATACAAGAGAAATTCCACGTCTCTCAAACTCCATATTCACTACATACTTCCCATTACCCTCTTTACACTTTCCATCTTATCTTTTCATTTTCTGCATTCTTGGTCGTGTGACATCTCAGCACCCACTGCAATTGTTAACTACTTTGGCCTTTATTTAATATTGTTTGATACACTTTTAAAATTAATTAATATTTAAAAAAAATATTGAAATGTTTTAATATTTTTTTACATTTTTTTTTATATATGGTTTGAGATTTTAACATGTTGAAAAAGTAAATATTTTTGGATACACTTTTCAAAATTAATCATTTGGAAAGCAATATGAAATTGAGGCGTTTATTTGAATTTTTGTGGATAATGCTGTGCCTTTACAATTTCACTATCATTTTGATACAATATTCATCCTGCCCTTTTATGTGTGAACTCTTTTTATATAAAAATCCCAAATGTTTTTCATTAAGGAATATCTCATCTAGTTCTATTCAGATTTGGCATTAAACTTAATTTTTTTTTAAACTGAATTGTAATAGAGAATGCATCACAAAATGCGTTAATTAAAATGCCATCCTAAACAAGAAAAGCTCAGAAAACAGGAATTGGTGGATTAGGTGCGGACCAAGGAGAGGCATAAGTCACTGGCATAGTGGAGTCTTCAAGATAGGACATGCATAATTATTAGAAAGAATATGTAGGCTGGGGCACTGTTGTGAACAGTTTTATAGTTAATGACTGTTACAAAATACTTTGTAATATTGGTTGCAAAGAAAAAACGTTTATCTTAGTTTTTACTCCAAAACCCAAGTGAATAGACTACGTACCCTCTTTAATTAATGAATTTATTTTTTGCATAAACTGTCTTGAAATTATAAAGTAAATCCCCAATGTGCCCTTTAGGCCAGCAAGCCGTAGGGCCAATAAAACAATCTTAGAATACAAACTGTAAAAGCATCTTAAAACCAGTTTTACTGCTTCTTTCTGCTTGACAAAAATATATATAAGTAAAATTCTTCTGCCATTCCCCATTCTATTTTCCTATAACAGCAGTACTTTTAATCTTATCTACATTGCCTAACCTGTTTAACAAGAGGGGGTTGGGTCATTACTGTGAAAATATATCTACACAAAGCAAGAATGACCGAAGACCCATCCCGTAGAGAATTGTTATGTGATGTCTGAATAAGCCTCCGACCTTTATTTTGTCAGTTGTGTTTTTATACAATAAAAAGTAAGTGCTTATGTGCAAATACTCATAGAACAGTAGTAGGAAGGGAGTGAAAGGATGAAGGGAGTACAGATAAGACATAAGGATGAACATCATGTACATATAACATATAAGTTCCTGGAAAGAGAAGGAACAGACTGATTTAGGAGAGACAGCTCAGGTGGGGGCTATCTGCTCCCAGAACTAGACATATAGTGCGGTTTTAAGCATTAAGCATTTCCTGAGTCCAAGTTAGCCAGTTTTAATCTAATCTGACACCTATAAACTTGAACCTTGGAATCAAGGTAAATTCTTTCACAATCCCCTCTTTTGATCCAAGGGTCACCCAAATGTCCAAGGTATTTCTAGGACTACAGTTCCCTTGGACTGAGAGACCACCAGAATCAGCTGAGGAGAGTTTCTTCATTTGTTAAGTGAGGTAACATCGTAAAAACCTTCCGAAGTCGGAGCTGGAAGGTAAGTTAAGGTACGACCAACAGTAGATTTGTTTTTACATAGAGAGGTTAGTAGACATGATAAGAACTTGAAGGTTAGAAAAATGGCTATAATAATAGCTAATAGCAAAAAGTACAATATTTTCTTAATCAGCAAAGTCATCCATGTTCCTAGCCCAAATGTCCAATCCCAATACCCAAAGAAGCCAGTATTATGTTTGATATCCTGTATTAAGTCATGTAAGCCTTGTATATGTTTATGGATCATAGTGCTGTAGTCAGATAGGTTAAAACAGCACATACCTTCAATAGTGTCACGTATTCATCCGCTTATTAAAATGTGATTAATGGAATTTACTGTCCACACAGGAAAAGTTGTGCCGAGCAACAACCAAATCCAAAGAAGGGTTAATGCTGAGCAGCAATTATGCAAATGGTAACCTGGTTACTGCCTTTGGGGTCAAAGGCTGGTTACAGCCTATCAGATCTAAAGGAGGGGTATTTAGGCCCAGTTCTCATCCTGCTCAGTGCCCTGTCGTGGTTTCCCTTGTGGTTGTCCGAGAGCACGTTATTGATTCTGGTTATTCTGATTATTTGACTTTGGCATTGTTTTTGACTTCCCTGTTATCTGGCATCCCTGACTCCTGGCTTTTCCTTATCGTTGTGTCTCTTTCTGTATCCCTTGACCTTGGCTATTCCTGACTATTCTTTGGTACGTTAGTCCGGCCATTCTAAGGTCCGGTATACGTTACCTATCAGTCCTCTGTGTTACACAATTCTACGTGCTGGATCATTCTGTAATCCTGACAAATAGCTTCACAGCCTAAGTCATGTTTCATTAGTAAGTAGTCAATTGCTGCTCTATTCTCAAGGATTGCCTTCTTATTTGCCTGGGTGTCCATAAACCTTTGCAAGGGAACAGGCTACATCATTAATTGGTTATTATACAGTGCTAAGCCTGGGACTCCTAACATTTAGATAAGAGAGTGATTTTAGGGTTACGATCTGAAGTAAGGATGTTTTTGGCATCTCTCCTGTCTCTCTGCGGTTTGTGTAGCTGGGTGGTTTCAGAGATCAGGTCAGATTTGTAAAACATGGTCATGATTAGGCATGAGATTCCACAGGGACCTCCTGTAATGTTACCTGGGACATAAGCATAAATATCATTTCCACAGGAGAAAGTCTATCCTTTAGGGAGATAGACATGGTGATGGTAACTCATAACTTGGCGAGTTTAGGTACATTTCATAGTGGTGCTCAAGGCTCTACAATTTGTGTTATTTTTCCACCATGTGGGGCAATACAGGAATTTAGTATTAGGGTCTCAGACCACTAAGAACAAGGCTATGCCACATCACTCTTTCTGTGACGCGTGCGTTCCAAAGTGAAACACAGGAACTCAGAGGTCATCCTATTATCTACACACAGACAAGCACGCCACGTCATTTATGGTATTACACTGTGCGTTCCACGAAACCGGAAATTAGATCCACCAGGCAGCAATCTTCAATTAAGCTCACCTTATATATATATACAGAACACTGAGAGGACTACCCCACACTCTTGAAAAAGCCTTTGAACAGGCGAAATGCATCAAGTGGGACATCTATACCTAATTTTAGATTGTCTCATTGTTTTTATTTCTTTGTTAAATAAATAGTATTTTTTTTATATAACAAGTTGTTTTTTGTTTGCTGCCTGGTACCAGTATATCCATAGGTGGGGATTATACCACCCATGCTGTTTTAACTAGAGCAAGTCTTGCTCTACCAAATGTAAGTACATTACTTCTTTTTAACTTTATTTATTAGTACTTACTACACCATTGGAGTTTTCTTGCTTTTTCTTGCCTCCATATATAGCATGCATACCTGCATTTCGTCTGGAGCATCAGCACTACCTATACCACCACATATCCTTAGACGGGGATTATATCGTCCACGCGAAATACAGCAGAGCTCTTAGATAGCTCAATCAAATGTGAGTGGTTCCCATATAGCTGCTATTTATATAATTTGTACTTTACCATATTGTACTGTACCATTATTGTCTTTTCTATTATTCTGAGGTTCAAAGTATTGTACCCCTTGAAGATCTATGTACGTATAAATATTGGGCACAGTATATGCCATACACTTTTTTATCTTCTTATCTCACAAGGTTTTGGGAATCCTTGTATTGTGTACCGCAGCCCTCACCAAATATTGTAGTGAGTGCATATTATTCTTGTTTTCTTCTATTCTTTGATTCCTGTGGAGAGAGCAATCTCGCCACATTGCATTGGAGAAGCCTGGTTGCTCGCCTGCTGCCTTTGGACTATGGCCCCCATGTTAAAAGACTTTGTTTCGCCTGCAGAAAAGCTTTATTCATGCTTTTCTGCCTGGTGTTCGGTAGATTCAATCTACCGAACAACCGCACGA